AGTGAGAGCGGGAGAAAGAGAAAGAGAGAGAGAGAGAGAGAGTAGAGAGAGAGAGAGAGAGAGGGAGGGAGAGAGAGAGAGAGACTGAGAGAGTGGGAAAAAGAGAAAGAAAGAGCGGAAGAGAGAGAAAGCGAGAGAGAAAAGGGGGAGAAATAGCATTAGAGTTAGACCCGAAACGAAGTAAAGAGGTGAAACCGAAGAGAGAACTGATTGTTAAACGACGGTAGATAAGTATATGTACTTACGTTTGCATAAATGCAACTGTTCGGACAGTCGCTACTGGAACAGCGACGAAGAGTCAACCGAATTCACGTAACCACGAAACATACGTCACAATCCTGTTGCGTTTACATCCATAAATGAATGTATATAATATGATTATTGAAGATTTATAATATGATCATCGAACGCTATATCCCCACGTCTAGTGTCGATCTATCTATACTTCATTCTATCATACTTCGTTCTGCACACGCAGCAACGGCGTGCGCACGTTTTTATATCCCCACGTACCATGTCAACATGACGTCATCAACGAGCGTGTGAATACGATCGTCTGATACGTCGTTAATCCAATACGTCATCACGCAGACGAACGCTACCGTGCCGCGGCGTGCTCTCACAGTCAGTCCAGTTAACTCACGTAACAAATTGAATTGATCTGGTTCATCGATCCGGTGCCACCATGCCGCTTGCGCATATCGTTGTTCGGTTGGTCAGTTTGATCAGTTTTTATACGTGTTTTTTTTCACTCGTCAAATTGAGACGGCACTTCGTCGTGAAGCATTGTGTTTTGAGCGTCTTATCACGACGACGATTGGCTAGCGTTGCCTGTCACTCCGATCCGGTGGATATAGGTAAATTGCGGCGCCCCGTGATATTGTATCTTCATCGGCTGACAGTCCACCGTCTAGCAGGACAGGGATTACTATATAGCGATCATAGCTATAATTCAGGGGCCCGTTGTCAGAAACAAAATTATAGTCTTAACATAACTTTTTCTCTTAGACCGTTGACAGAAATGCTGCGAAGTTACCCAAAGGGAAAATCGTAGCAGATTTCCTCATAACAATACGAAACAAAGTGCTGTAGACGGTCTACGAGAAAATGTTAGTGTTAAGACTAATGTTAACACCAATTTTGTTTCTGACAACGGGCTCCATACGTTCATGTGTATGCGGCGCGTACATCATGCAGGCGTCCAGGCACCGTGGCACTAACGCACTACGAACATGACTACGCACTAATTTCAAACGTTGAAGAAAATAAAAAGGCGTTAAAGTCAATTAAATCGGGTCGATATTTATCGCTGATGATCGATGCCAATTTATGATTGACATTCGATAACGCATAGTCATATTGATTCCACCCTTTTAACAATCGGATTCCCATTTAAAAAAATTGCTTTTTCCAAGAAACCGAAAGTTAGCTTTTCTCCACCCATTTATTGCTTGCGGGTATTTTTACCTAGCGTTCGTTTACCCTCGCCAAGTAGGCCGTTTAATCACCCTCATCGGCTTACAATCGATATATCGACGGTGCCGCGTATTGACACTAGACTCTACATAGCACTTATCTAACCCGATATCCTTGATAAATATTAACACTATCAGTTTTTACTTATACTAGTTTATACTAGCGCCGGGAGCTTCGTGCACTCGTTGTCTCAAACGGATTGTGACGATTGCGCAGATATTCTATATCAGCCAGATCTAGCACCCGCGGGGCGGTGTTCGAGTGAAAGATTTCTACATTGAAAGGCTAGTGCATTAGGAAAATAACGCATCTTTTTATTATTGTTGGCTGCCCTTTTAAGCGATCGCGTGCGCGGGTTGGCGTGATGGATGTATGTGGGTGTGGGTGTGTGGTGTGTATGCATGTACGCGCGTGCGTGCGCGTGTGCGTGCGTGCGTTTGCGCGTGAGTGTAGGCGCGCATCCACGCTTTACTACAGTTTAGGCGCATAGGAACTACACGTGCGTTACAACCAAGCTGCGTGTTCCTGCAGGACGCATCATAAAACTGCCCCGCGCCACAAAACTACTGCGCGGGAGATATGTTCGTATAAAACCATTCACACATCGCACCCTTCGCCTTTTTCGCCTAACCCACGTAATAAGCGTTGGCAGCACACGAGCTCACCTGCAATCGAGTCAGCAGAACCTCTAACTGTCCTAGATAAACGGCGCTGGTAAATGTTTATGTTTGACTGCGTGGGTCAGTAGGAGCATAGATATCTATATACTAACCCTCGTTAGTATATAGATATCTATATGAGTAGGAGAATCTCTAACCCTCGTTAGTATATAGATATCTATGAGTAGGAGAATCTCTAACCCTCGTTACTGACAGGGCCCCGGTGGCGACGGCTTGTAATCTTCTGGGTTATATTCTAGTCAATATATTATCGTATAGACGACCTCAATGATGCGTCTTGTGTTGAATCCAGCAAAAATAGCGATAAGCATTGCAGCGAAATACGGCCGAATCCATCCGTCTCGGGTGCCTATCAGGCAGCGGACTATAACCACGAGATTTCTGGATTTACGCAGTTATCGCAGTATACGCAGTTATCGCAAACAGCACAGTGGCACGAACTATCTAGCGCTCATTGTCCGAAACATCATAGACAGCTATGACGTCATTAGTCAAAAAATGTCTACTTTTGAAATGTGTCGCGCCCCAAATGTGCGCAAAATTATATATGATATCAAGAGCGTATAAAGAAGGTTATACTTCTTATATATACTTTCTAATATATACCTTCTTTATACGCTCTTGATGATATATATATATATATATATATATATATATATAATATAATATGTCATGTCCTGTTCTCTGCCACGAATCCGGGAACGTTACACGCGGCTACCGGGATGTATGCATTGGTTCGGACGTCACTGTATCGACCCACGTTTCTCAGAAGACCACGCTGGACCTCACCATGCATGCACGCGCGGTGTTTGTGTGCGGGTTTATTAGTAGTGGGTGTCGGCTGTATGCGACCAGCTCCGGGTCATGTCATGCAGGCAGGAGTGGTATCATAATATAGATCCTGCATTATATAATATTACTCTAATGCTAACTCCTATATGTTATAATATTACTTCCTAATGTACTCCTATATAATTACTCCTAATGTTAACCCCCTGTATAACATATTACTCCTAATGGTTAACCTCCCTATATATATTACTTCCTAAATGTACTTCTAATTATTATTACTCCTATGGTTAACCGTTCCTATATATATTTACCTCCTAAAATGTCAACCTCCTATATAATATTACTCCCTAATGTAACCTCTATATAGTATTATCCTATGTTAACCCTCCTATATAATATTACTTCCTAATGTAACCTCTATGATTAATATTCTCCTTAAATGTAATTCTTATAATATTACTGCCTAACATGCTAACCTCCTAATATTAATCTTAGCTACCTATGTAAACCCTTCTATATAATTCTTATTTATCCCTAATGTACCCTCCTATATTAATTACTCCTATGTACCTCCTATTAATCATTACTCTAACCTGTAAAACTGCCTATCATAAAATATTACTCTAATTTGTAACTCCCTACTATTAAATATTACTCCTAATGTAACCTCCTAAGTATAACATAATTACTCCTAATGTACAACCTCCTACTATAATTATCTCTCCTACATGTAACCGCCATTACTAATATTACTTCCTAGTGACACCCCTCTATATTAATACTTACCTCCCGGCCTACTGTAACCTCCTAATAATATTACTCTATGTAACCTCCTATAATATTACCCTAATGTAACCTCCTATATGAATATCTACTCCTAAGTGTAACCTCGTATACTAATGATGTCTGCCTAAGTGGTAGCCTCCTATATATATTCTACTCCTAATGTAACCCTCCTATTATAATATCTACTCCTAATGTAACCTCCTATATAATTACTTCCTAACTTTAAACCTCTCTATATATATTACTCCTAATGTTACTCCCTAGTATTAATATTGTACTCCTAATGTAACCGTCTCTATGATTAATATCTCTTCCCTAATGTAAACCGCCTAGTGATAAT